AGTTACAATAATATCGTAGCGTTCTACCCTCGCGATCGATCGGTCCGTATCCCATTTCGTTTCCCGGTTCCAGTCGCCGCGAAAATCATAGTAGAACGTCACCCTCTCTCTCTCTCTCTCTCTCTCTCTCTTTCTTTCTGTCACCCTTTCTCTCTCGCTTTCATTCTCTCCATGCTCTCTCACTCGCGCGCTACAAGGTCCGCGACCACCTTCTGTACAGAAACTTCTCGTCGGACGCAACATCTTTCTTCGCGTACATATGATTTTTGAGCAGTTGCGTCCGGTTTATTGCTTATTGCTTACGTTTACGCTCACGTTGCACGCCCCCGGCGAACGGGACCGCCCACACGACGCGGCGGCCGAGAACTCCACCCACCGCAGCACGTTCGGTGCTCGCGACAACGCTGTCGCGAACCCGAGACCTTCTCTTCGATCAAGGCTGATTAGTCGCCTTCAATTTCAATCAAACTTTTGGGCTTGTGACGATGCTTCTAAATCATATGTCCAAAGAAGTCTAACCTAGTTTAGACAAAAGTTTATGCGGAGTGTCTCGGAAAGCGGTAAGCCTTGAGAAAGGTGATTGCTGAGGTCATTTGAAGAAACTTTTTCCTCAGCGAAAATGTCGAGAAAGGCTTCGTTAACGAGATATTAACGAAAAACGCGGACCAATCGGAGCGCAACCGCGGCTGCGTCAAGCCAGCTGTACTCGCGCCATCATTGGTCCGCGTTTTTCTTTAATAACTTGGCAACGAAGCCTCGTAGAACGTTTGCGTAAAGAGAAAAGTTACTTGAAATTGGCTCGCGGATTGATCTCTTTGCAGAGATCAGAATAATAAAATAGAAAATGAATTTTGTTGCGACGCAAAGTAAATGTCCGTTTAGGGATATGGTTACTAGACCGCCGACTTCACGCATTGATAGGAAAATTGAGTAGATGAAATATAAAATAATAGGAGAACTGAAAAAATTTATAACTGTATTACGCAATAAAACTATCAATCTATCAAGTTATTAAAAAAGAACGAACTTAGTTTCTAGTTTTGGCAATGAACGCAGACAATTTTTTTCGCATGAAAGTCCACAGTCCAGTAATTACACCGACGACCACCTAATTACAACAAAGAAATCTGTCTAATGTTTAAGTTAAGCAACTGCCGTTGCAGAATAATTTTTATGAAGCTTTCAATAAAAAGCGTTCGACTTTCCGGTATAGAAAATGTTTGGTAGCTGAACGGTCGTTCGCGTTGCTGTCGAGATTCGTCGAGATCGTACGGGACAGATCGAAAGCAGCGCTAAATCTTTCGCAAGCTCGTCGGATCCGGGGCACGGGGTCCGCCGAATAAATCACGCACGTGGTGCCCCCTCTCCCCGGGGATTTCATTTTCATCCGCGGGACAGCCGTGCTCGGCTACCGACTATTTAATAAAATATGCCCGCGACTCCCTTCTTCTCTCTTGGTCCGATAGGAGTCGAACAAGTGGTCAATTTGTCTCTCGCTTCTCGAGCTCCCGGCCAGCGACTGCCTACCGCCGCCGATAAGCCTTGAATAATTGCTCGCATGACCGTCCCTTTTCACCCTCCCCCCCTCTCTACCTCCCTCTCGCTCCTTTCGACGAGGAAGAATCGGAGCGACGTCATCCGGACATTTCACGGGAACGCGTTTCTTTCGAGGGGAACGTCCGACTCGGTGCTAACGGAGGACCAATCGCAGTCGCGATCTTGCTAAATTATTACCATCGATTCCGATTAACAAATTTCATTGATTCTTTTACTAGTTAAATGCTAATAAAATAGAAAAGTTACAGGCAAATGATGGATTTTATTCGAGACGTTTGTTGGTACTGGAAGGCAATTTTTCAAGGTATTGTTGATGTTCAGATCAATGCTGAAATTTATTGAAGGTGTTTGACGATGTTTGAAGGCTATACGGGATGTCCCATAATTTTCTTAACACCCGGAAGCGATTCCTGAGGTCATTTCAAGTAACTTTCTCCTTTACGAAAATGTTCTACGAGGCTTCGTTTACGAGTTATTAACGAAAATACATTGACCAATGAGAGGCGAGCTTTGGCTGACGCTAGACGACCGCGCCAACGAGCGATCGAAGCCTATTTCCGCTGATTGACTCGGCCGCCTAGCGCTAGGCAAGTTCGCCTCTCATTGGTCAGTGTTTTTCATTGATAACTCGTAAACGAAGCCGCGGATTGAATTTTCGCTAAGGAAAAAGTTACTTCGAATGACCTTAGGAATCTCCCATTTCCCGGAAGTAACATAATTTTTGGTCACCCTGGATATATCAAGAACTTATTAATATTGAGCTTCTAGCAAAAATCATGCGGTTACTTTTTCTAGATAAATGCTGCAAACTAATAATATGCAAGACGATAGATAGATGTTGGATTTTGTTAATGAAGTTTGATGATGTTTGGAGACAATTTTTGCAATAATTTTTAACATCGAGATCTTACAAAAATTGTCTGATTCATTTTACCAGATAAAAATTGAAACAGAAAAATTGACCGAGGAATGACAGGTAACTACTGAATTTTATTGGAGAAGTATGATGACGTTTGAAGAAGTCTGCTCCTTGTCACAATTTTTAAGGAAATTATTAACATTGATTCCATTAAAAATAATTCACCAAATAAATGATGCAGAAAAATGGACAGAGAAATGATAGTCGATATTGGATTCTATGGGGTAAGTTTGACGGTGTTTCTCCGAGCAAATGTGTTACAGAAAATTCCGTTGGAGAACAGTAAACGATTTTCAAATACGGATGATAGTTTTATAAAAATTTTAAGGTTTCATTTACCTGTTACAGAGACGCTATAATAGAAAATCAGTCTCTTTGAAAATAATACAAAAATTTTTTGAAAGCTATGGAGTATTTTTTTTTTTAAACAACCCAGGGTCCCTTCAGTAGTAACTCGATAGAAATATCTTCTCGCTTAACAGAATATTTTCCGACTTCCCGTGTACAACTGCAAAAGGGAAAAACCGTTTCCTGGCATTTCCGTGGCGCGGCGCTGACAGTTTATTTCCAGCGAACCCGCCCGGAACATTATTACCATTTATGAACCGGCAAATCCAGCTATCTTTGCGACACGTTCAGCTTCCGTTACTAGGTCAGATTGACAAGAGGAAAATTGAATTGGGGAAAATGAGGGACGGATGCCCGCGGGATCCGGATGCGGTTTGATATTAGCGACTTAAAATACGGTCGAGAGCGACAACGTTGATTTCCTGCCGGTGCGTCACACTTCTGACGTTATTTCGATGAAAAAAAAACCCGCCGAATAAAATAATCAAGACTCGTCAGCCGTCGGACGCGACGAAAAAACCGGCGGCACGGAGAAAAGGGAAGCATGATTGGCGTTGCTGTATACCCTCTGCAAATATCAATTACGTACGTCGCTGTTCGGATCGTTACCGAGCTCATCAAACTAAATTATCTGTGATTCGATGCGAGATAAAACAGAAACCAGAATCAAACTCCTTTAATATAATATGCTCCCGTATAATTAAGCCGACAATTTCTGGCCAACGCCGAAATTGGATTCCGCTCCGTTCCATCGATACTACCGGCAAATACTATTGATCCGCCACGCTAACAAAAACGCCTCTAAATGATTCACAATCCTGCTTCCCGTCGCAGCCGAATTTTCGCAGCTTGAAATCGATACTGTTTCGGCTGCTTTCGAAACAGGTACGCATGTTTAGCCGGCAACGTATTTTCGGGGAGAACGTTCGAAAAGTTTCAAGGAAACTGTAAAAAGTGTCGCAAACAACGGACCATTTTATACGAAAGCGTCAACAATTGCTAACAAGGGGATATCGAGTTTAGGTGCAACCTCTTGCTACCTTCGCGTGTAGAATAATATTTAACGAATAAAAGGCAACGGTATCTCTCGGCGTCAAGCTGTGAGCGCGCGGCCCGTCGCTGAGCCCCCCTATCCAATTTCAAAACAAACCGCGACCGTTCAGACCTTCCCGATGATCCGGCGATACAATGTTCGTCGAAATTTTCAATCTAACGTTGCGAAATAAATTCACTATTTCAGAAAATAGATTGTAGAAATTTGCCAAAATAATTTCTGCACGTAAAGAATGCTGGTCGCCTCGATTTTTCAAATGTTCATTAAAGTGTTTTTTCGACTTGGCGACATTCTAGCTGGCGTCGAGACTGTACTATACTGCACTATACCTGTACTATACCGTAAACATTACTACTGTACTATAACCTTAAATCTTGAACTAACGCAACTACGATTTTGGTGGCAGAATATGAATTCCCAAAATTAAAAGAGAATTATATATTATATGCTATATACTGTTAAACAAGAAATGAAAATTGTCTCTTTCTGTTAGAGGAATTATTAAATAAAAACTATTGAAGAATAATAATAATTGCAGACATATACAAGAAATGAAAATTGTCTCTTCTTGCTAGAGAAATTATTAAAGAATTGAAGAATAAAAATAATTGCAGATATACAAGAAATAAAAATATTCTCTACAAATTAGAAGAATTATTAAATAAGTATTATTGAAGAATAAAAACGATCTATACCTTAAACCTTACTACTGTACTATAACCTTAAACCTTGAAATAACGCTCCAATGATCTTGGTCGCAGAATATCAATTCCCAAAATTAACAGATAAACGAGATAAACAAGAAACGAAAATCGTCTATTTCTATTATAGGAATTATTAAATATTGAATAATAATAATAATTGAAGACATACAGAAAATGAAAATTCTCTTCTTACCTTTACAAATTAGAAGAATTATTAAATAAATATTATCGAAGAACAAAATAACCTAAAGAAACCCTGCTAAAAAATAAAAATAATTGCATATACATACAATAAATACAAAACTGACTCTTCCGACTAAAGAATATACCGAGAACACAAAGAGTCTGGTCAGTATAAAAATGAAAAAGATCGATCGCGAAACAGTCAACGTCGCGAGAGCCACGAAAATATGATTAACCCAACAACCGTAAATAGAAAACAATAGTAAACAAGCCACACCGCTGTAAACAGAGCTAGGACATAAAACTAAAGAGCAGAAAATAGCGATTTGAGATTTTGGCGGGAAGTTTCCTCCAAGTGTAGAAGCAATATCCATTACCGGAACGCGTTCAAACCGTGCTGAGACGGCTCGTGATTGGCCGGAGCCCGATACCGTTTCTCGGCACGCCCCCTGGGAAGACTCCGCGCGAATAATTCCGATATGGGAGCGGATTGTATCGCTTGGCGGACCGTTGCCGACACAGTTTCGTCGATTCAATTTCGCCGTGGACGACCGGCCGCCTCGGCGAGAACGGACCGGTCCGGATCGGACCTTGTTCCACTCGGCAAAGGGTTTTCCATGTATTTTTAATAAATCCGCGGGCATCGATCGTCCGGTCGGCCGGCCCTCGAAAGCGGCGCGGACGCAACGCGCGCAGAGCGCCGGTTCTTTTCACCGTGACGATAGAAAAATAACGCAGACAACCGGAAGCTTTGAAACGGCCTTCCTTTTTTCGTCTTTCTCCTTTTATTAACTCGCTCTTCTACCCCGCCTCCCTCCCGCCCCGCTCGCTCTTTTCTTTTTTGTTCTCCCTCTTTGGCCGGTGTTCGCGGGCCCCGCCACTCGGTTATTAATACAGCCGCCGGCTATTACAGCTATTATATAATAGCGACGGCGCACCGGCTACTAAACCCTTTGTAGCTGTTACATAACAGCTACAGCGCAATCTGCCCATAATACCGGACGGCTAATATTTCGAGCGGTAACCGAATCCCGCCGCGGGCGAGCCCGATTGTCCGCAAAATCTGCCGCCGATTCTACTTCGAACTGATTTCTTTTTTTTTTCTATCGGGCCTCCCCTATTTTTTTCGGTTACGCCGGTGGTGATATTTCGACAGACCGAGCATTTAAATCCGAGATCGAATGTTTACGAAGAACGTCCCGGTTGACCCGAATTTGAATGCGGTAGCTCAGTGATTCAGAATATTATTTTTAATATTGCATTGCATTTGGGCGAGACGAGTATCTCTGAAGATGAATATTAATTCTCAGAAAATTATTTGGTCCACCGGAAGCGAAATTATTAAATAAGAATAAAACGTCTAGGATCTGGTAGCGACTGTAGCAAATAATTCAAAACCGATAGTTTTTCACCACCGATAGTTCGAATAAAATAAAAATTAAAAGGTCGTTAATGCACTCCTCCGATATTTTTGCGTAATGACCTTGACGTAACCGCCGATATACGTGGTCCATTGGCGTAGAAATTATCTTCCAAGTCCGAACAAATATTTATACATACACCGACACGGTAGCCATCGTGTCGCAGATTCAATTTTATTTCACAAAAGGCAAAAAAAATCTCGCCTGTCTCAGCAAAAGCACGCTGATCTCGAAGCGTAATTCGAAACGCGTCGAAAGTCTCCCGAGAGACGAATTGCTTCTTGTGACACAACACAAACGTCTCGAACGTCCACCGAACAGCTAATGCAGACTTTAATCCAATTAACCAGTAGTATTATTTTGTATAATCAACCTCGATTAAGCAGCCCCGATTAAACACCTTCGGTAAAGTATCCCCGATTAATCGCCCAAACGCCTAATACTGCAGGAGCAGGTTATTTAAAGCGGACAGCCGAAAATTCGTAAAGAATCACCATCGAAATCTTGGCTGAGTGAAACCGCCCCCTCCCCCGGAAGCCGCCGACCGCGTGGGCCCCCCGAAAGACGGCAACCCGGATCGATGATCGCGTCGCTCGCCGCAACCTCTCGTCGCCTCAACCGAACTGCTGGTGGTGGGGGGAGTGAGTGTCCCGCGGTGGTCTCGCTCGCCGCGCGTAGAATCCGATCGATCGGTGCGCCGCGATCTCGTGATATGGGTCCGACCATAAAAACTCGCGCGGTTACTTCCTTCGTTAGCCTTGCCTGACTTTTTAATTAGCTAGTGCCTACGAGCTACGTCGGTAAAAAACCTACTGGCCGGGTGAGGCTCGTGCTCGGCGTTCGGTCGCCGGGTTTCCGGAGCGAACCGACACAGAAAAGGAATCGCTCTTGGAGAGAGCCTCGGAGGGCTCCCTTGGGAAGTCCCCTGGCGTGTTCCCTTGGCAGGCTTCCCTAGAAGGTTCCGTCGTACAGGCGCCTCTGCAGGACTCGCTTAAAGGAGGCTCCAAACGCTCGGATGCTCCTTCTCTCGCGGAGTCCCTTCGAGCGAGAGGGGCCAGCGTTTCGCTTCTTTGTCGCATCAAGTCGTGCCAATTCTACCGAGTGCACCGGTCGAGGTTATTTTCCTCCTGGGTCACCCGAAGGGGAGCTGGAGTCCTGAACCGGTGATATCAGGCTGTCACTCCACGTGGCCCACAGGGCCCCTCCACTGGCCCGTAGCTCCACTATCTCCTCCCTGAGCCAGTGGCTCGGCTCTCCCCTCCACGGCCCCGTAGCTCCACTCTCCCCTCCGCGAGCCGATGGCTTCTCTCTCCCCACTCTGAGTCACGTGGCTTCTAGTAGACTGCGTCGCATCATCGCTGTTGCTAGGCGATTCTGCAGGACTCGCTCAGAAGTGGCTCCGGATGCCAAGACCCTCTGGACCCCCTTGCCCTTTCTCTCATGAAATCACTTCGTATGAGAGAAATCAGCGTTTCGCTTTTTTGCCGCGTCAAATCGTGCCAATTGTACCGGCTGTACTTATCAAGGTGTGGCCCCAGCCAAAGGAGAGCCAGTGTCTCAGACCTAAATCAGTGATGCCAGGCAGTCCGCTAGACGCCGCGTCACCCACAGAGCCTCTCCGCGTGCCCGTCGCTCCACTCTCCCCACTACTGGTCACGTGGGTTCCAGCGAACTGCCTGGCAATACTATCCCCAACTGCCAAGGTTACAGCACCATGCGCACCGAATGTACGCGGTTCTCTCGACTCGCTTGCTGAATATGCTTCCCGGCGGTTACGCGAGCACGAACCTCCCCCGACGAATCGGAGAGGCTAGCTGGAGCTACGGACGCGAGCCGAAGATCGATTCCTCCGGACCATATCTTCCCGATCGACCATCTCCTCTTCGTCGTCCTGCTCCCCTCGCTCCTCGCCCGTACTCGCTCCTTGCCGTTCGCCCGGACGCTCGACCGATCTTGTTCGGTGATTCGCGACGAAGGCTTTTGTGTATGTATATATATAATATTTATATATATATATATATATATATATATATATATATATATATACTTTGTTGTTTGTTTATTATACACGTGTGCCATCTCCCGTTTCTCGTTCTCGTCACCCCGCACCGATGTGTCCGGCAGTGTCACGCAGATTATACAAAGACGTCGCAGCGTTAACGGTCGTCAGATCGTCGCACGTTCGATTAGAATCACCTGTATACCGCGACGACCGCCGTCAGGCCGACGATCAGGAGGTACGTCGATCGGGCGACGAAGCCCCTGTTCTCCTCCATGCACTGGCCTGTAAACAGAAAGAAGACGAGGTCAGAGCTTCTGTAGGACAACCTGCGTCAACGACGGTGCTGCGATCACCGTTCGCAGGAAAACAAGTTACGCGAGGAGTGGGGTAGATGATGCATGCGCCGGAAGTGCCGCGCAGCGGCGTCTGTTTGTGTTGTTGCGAAGTTAATGGTTAATGTGTGTACATGTGCCTGAGCGATTTGTTTGATCATCCAAAAGTGAGTGGCTTTGTTTAACAAAAATCCAATAGTTGCCACGATCAAACTTTTTCTCAGGGGTTTTGAATTTTTCGACTTTCCAGTGTACATTCAAATGAATTTTGTCGAGAAAAATCGAAAAATCGTAGTCCCGAATCTAGGAATGTAATTAAAATTTTTAATCGGTGTACACAAACCAAAATGGTTGCAGTATTTTCAAAATGTGAGAGTATATATATATATATATCCACACAGAATTACAATTTTAATTATTTTAGAATTAGAATCTTAATTTATAGTGATTCTAGTGTAACAGATATAGATAATTAATATTTTTTATTTTATGAACAATTTTTAAATATCGACTAAATTTACGAATTATGTTAATGAAGTTTTCGTCACCATATAAATATTAATGCATTTATTATTGTTACCTAGCAACGATTATTTATATTTATAATAAAATAATAATAAAGTAAACACTCCAATAATTGGAGTGAGCACGTATATATGAAACGGGAATAATTTATTTATTAGTTTGATAATTTCATATCAAAATATTTAAATTTAAAAATATCAAATACCTAAACAAATTATAAGTGTTGAGTGGAAATAGTACAATCATTTGTTCATTTATTCTATACTCCCACACTACGTTGGACGCGCATAATTTTTTAACCAATAAATTTAAGACTTAATTTAATCACATTCCTAGATCCAGGACTTCGATTTTTCGACTTTCCTCGGCAAAATCCATCGGAATGTATACCGTAAAGTCAAGAAAATCGAAACCCCCAAGGAAAAGTCTAACCGTTGCCATCCCATAGACACGCTATGCCGCTGTGCGGGAACTCCCGCGCATGCGTCGCTTACCCTCACTCAGCGCGGAACTAATTTACCCGTACGCACTGGTTGCGTCGAGTGGTGCCAGCTTCAGCTGGAAGTGGGCAACACTTGCCAAGACGCTCCCCGCACCTTCGCGAAGTTCCTCCTCCGTCATACTTCCCCCACTTCTTGCCAAACGGTGGCACCTTCCATCGCAGACCTGGCCGCCGCATGTCCAATAACTCCGCGCGGTTTTTCTCGGCCGATGTCGACCAGCGTTTCTTGTTACGCGACGTTTTCAATCTGTCGCGTGTTTGCCCGGTTCCGAAACGAACGACGATTTCACGGGGAACCGTAACTGCGGTCTCTCGGTCACGGATATTTTCGGGCATGTTTGCTCGCGTCGGAAAGTTCCGCGAAGTTATCGGACGAGTTGTCGTCGTGATCGTAGAACGCTGATCTTCGGACGAAATACGAACTTCCGTGTGTAGGTCGCCTTGGAACCGAGCGAGGTATTGGGCTGCGGATTTTCTGCGGTTACGACAGCGACGAATTTCAGACGCGGACGATGGAAAAAACGTCGGGAGAATTTAATATTACCGGTGCTGTGTGTTGGTTACAATTAGACCGAGGATTTTTGTGAAATTTTATTATATTTAAATTTTATTATAAATTCACGAAATTCGGCAGATTTATGGTAATTTGTTTCTGTAGAGTGTTCGTTGTTTGAGCGGGAAAATGTTATCGATGCTTTAATTTTGGAAGTCGCGTAAAATTATTTCATTCGTTTCGAATATTGCATGCGAAATGCAAAAGGCAGCGGATACAGGAGTGAGGTGACTGCGAGGGAAGGGACAACCGGGATAAGAATTGGCAACGTAGCCGTAGTCGAAATGGACAACAAAGGAAACATCCACCTCCTTCTCCCTCTCAGGCGTCTCGTTTCTCAATTAAGGCTGACCATTTAAAGTCTGAATCCAAACTCGCAATGGAACAAAGTGCAGGAAGCCGATTTGAAGTTTAAGTCGAAAGTTGTTTGCCAGTCTGCTGTCCCGACGATGTTCCAAGGGAATAGTTCACGGCGATGGTCATAGCGAGCAGGAACTGCCCCGTGGGGCATTGTTCCGGCTCCTTAGAAAGTGAGAGCAACAAGGCCACGCCCACTCTGAGTATTTCGCGTAAAAAGAGCATCAGACGAACACCCCCGGAAAGAAGATGGCACATTGCAACAATTATTTCATTTTTTTTATCGATCGATGTAAATGTAATTTTGTTTAAATGCACTTTTGCCAAACGTAAATATTGCAAATAATTTAACAGATAGAAAGATGACACATTCGTTAAGAAATAGTCTATTTCGAAAAAATGTTATTATAATAAAATAAATATATATAATTAATAAGTATAATAAATATTATTATAATACTAAATCGAAAATATAGTATTCCATTAAAAAAAAAGTCAAGACGGTTGTTTTATTTTCTAATACCAAATATTAGGAAACATAGTTTAAGTATTAAATTATGTATTATAGTTTAAGCATTGTCCTTTCGACTTATTTTTTTATAAGACTCAATAATTCACAGAATTGTTGAGTCGTTTTATGAATTTTATTCTGTTCTTTCCAGTCTGAATAAAGTCCTGATCCCTTGTTATCGGTATTTAACTATCTAAGTAAACACGATTAAGTATACACGTTAAATAAGAATTACCTTTTTTCTTTTTTTTTTCTAGAAAAACTTCTAATCATTGCAACTACGAAGAAAATGGTACGACGAGGTTATGTCCGACCAAAATTTCGGGAAAACGCACCAGTGTGGGCTGTTCTATGAGTCGAGTCGATTTGTTTTTTTTTCATAGAGAACATTCGAGCACAGTCGGAACCACTTTGATCATCACTTTGAGGTTAAGATACACCGAAAAGTCAGTCGTCTCGAGGCGTGACCATTCGGCAACTGCGAAACCAGAAGAAAGGTCTATAGGTATCCACAGCATGATCGCGCGAACCTTCGACCCCTTCAATAAGAGAGTCCCGTCGAGAGACCGCGTAACGAACGAGCGGCTGGAGTAGCGACGAAGAAACGAAACTGAAGGATCCTCGCTGGAGTGACAAGACAACAGTCTAGGTACCGAGGACGCTTCAGGTTGAAGCACCGCGGGGAGCGACCGCTGTACACCCTCTGATAACATCAAACAAATCAAGGAACCCGCCAGCAGTTTTTCTCCACCGACGAAATAGTAAATAATCGCGGCACGAGAACCGCTTGGAAAAACTCGGCTGCCGGGCCGCGGCGCGGCGCTGTGTTCCAGCTTCGCGAGGATGCGCGGGGCCAGAGACCTCTTCACGCTAACGAGTCAACTAACCAAGAGTCCCCGATGTTTGTCGCCTATAGGGATTCTAACGAAGCTTAGAGCGAATATTGGCGCTGCGGAGGAGGACTCTTTTGAATCTAGAACCAAGAAGATCCGCGCCGCCTGTCGCTATGTATTTAACAACGTTTCTCATAAACCCTCGACGATTTTGCAAACGGGAAGTGTTCGGCGGATCGTCCCTCTGAAGTGTTTAAATGACGAGAATTTTGAGAGTTTGAACATTCTAGGATACTGTTGGTTGTGTTCCGAACTATGTAAAATTAACCGTACACCGATTTATATTCTTTTCGACGCGGCGACTTCCTAATCTCGATCTATTGACCCGAAGGTGCTTTGGTAAATTGTTAGAAAAAGTCTGGAGGAATAGAATTTCCAGATTTCATTTTAAAGTTCGTACAGTCAGCATCAAAATTGGAAGTGCACGTATTTCACAGAAATTTGATAAAAATCAGAACAATCATGAGACAATATTTTCGCAAATGCAGTCTTGTTAATTTTGAAACGAAATAGAAGATAGCCAGTTTCAGTGCTCGGTAGCTATAGCGTTAAATAAACGAGCCAATTGTCTCCGACAACAAACGAACCAATTATTTATACAGTACAGCCTCTGATGTCTCAGTTCTCTTGTTATTTATTACACTCGTTACGTTCTCCATTCATTGTACAAATCAATACTGATCTAATTTAACATTGTGCCCAGGTAGCAGTCCAATTACTCCACCATCCTCGACTGGTCCAGATAATCGAGCTTCTGCCATATTAACTTCCCGGTGGCCGACGAAGGAACGAGAGGTCCGGCAGCGACTAGACCCGGGGACCAGCTTCTTTCCGACCCGGACTTCTTCACGCTCGCGTGTTTATTGTGGGAGTTCGAAGCTTATCAAAGTTCTAAAGACAAGTAACAGCGCCATAATCCTCGGCAGAGAAGTCGAGGGGAGACTCGAGTCCATGAAGCCGGTCACAGAGTGGCCGGAAGGGCGTCGTCAACGGAGACGTCGCAATTGTAATCGAGAAAATCCGCGTCTGGAGACAAACTGCCGTCCTCTATAAGGCTAATGGACTGGCGTTCTGAAAGACGAGCGAAAAAAGGGAAGCGGAACAACGGGGAAGGGGAAAAGAGAGAGAGAGAGAGAGAGAGAGAGAGAGAGAGAGAGAGAGGAGGAACAGTGTCGAGGAAACTGTCTAATTCCTCGGACAATGGGCTCTCTCCCGGGGGCCCGAAATCTCGAGACAAAATGCTCGAACGGCGGAACATTCGCGGCAGTTGCGGAACAAAACCGCTGGGTCCTCGTAGGGGGACGCGTTCCGGAGACCTTAAGTATACTCGAGAGGAGAAGAGAGAGTGGGGACGAGGAGGAGCGAGAAGGAGTGAGAAAGAGCGGGAGGTCTATGTATAGGTAAAGGAGTGTGTGTGTGTGAGAGAGAGAGAGAGAGAGAAGCACTCACCGGTACTAGTAGCATTGAAGGCCAACATCGGCGGGGGCGGAGGTATTCCCCTTTGGCAGGCCACCTCGCTGGCAGTCAAGCTGACAACTCCTCCGCTCTCTTTGTACATGAAGCACAATCTTCGGCTGTTCCTGTAGGGCTGGGGTCTGTTGTTCTCGCTGGTCCAGGCTGTCCCGGGCGCCAGCTGGGTGGCGATCACGAATTGGGTGCCCTCCGCGTCGAACCATCGACCGTGGCACGAGTACGCTGCCAAACAGAAAGCGCGTAGGTCCTCATTGGCTCGAAGAGCACGAACTTTCCCGGATATATAATGACAACAGGTATTTCCTTGAGACAGAGGGAACCTGGTTATTACCCTGCGCCGTTATCCTCTAAATAAACTTTGACAACCTTCCTGGCATGAATGCAGACGCGGAACGAAAGCCCCCCACTCTAGAACCACGGATGGGACCCCGTCGCTCTATCGCCGATGTGATCTTAATTGTCAATGATACCCGTCCTTGGCAATACGAACTGCCATTTTTCACCTTTTCAATGAATATCCTCAGATATTGGGTCACACGTCTTCAATGGACTCACCCCTATCGGTAGTTCACCTATTATTTAGGGCCTGCTAGGTTCTACAAGTTATGTCTAGGACCCCGTTCATAGTGGAGCCTTCTTTATAAGACTTTAAGCATGATTTTGAGACGTCACATAGATTCATAGACGTTTCTTAAGAACAATCACAAAGTCTGTCTTGATGTTATTTGTGTGCGATTCATATAGATGGCGTCTTAACAACATACTTGACCTTGAAGTGGTGACTAAATTTCTTGCAGCTCGTTTTGCAGACTGATAAGACGCCACCGGTTGATGATTGAGACAGTCTTATAAATAAAACTCGGCTGTGTATACAACTCTAAAATTTCAATCGGTTTTCAAATGCCTCTGCAGACCTAGCAGGCTACTCACCAATGGAGTTGTCGTCGACGCAGTCCGTCTGGAACTCCATCCTGTCCGCCGTAGAGCAGCCGATGGTGATGGTGGTGACCTCCGAGCTGCATCTAGAGATGTCCTCCTCTCTCTTCTCCCTCCTCTCGGAGGACTCGCCGGAGTCTAGCTCCTCGAGGTCCCTTCTGGTCCTGAACAGATCCTTGTAGGTCATGCGGCGATGGTGCCAGCCGGACCTCTTCTTGGGTAGGTCCGCGGTGTCCGGATAATCACCGAAGTAATCGGCCTGCATCTCGAGGATGGTCGCCACGTCGGAGTCGTCAAAGTCGGACCATATCTGCTTGAACGGTTCGAGGTCCTCCGCGGTCCACCGGAAGTCCTCCATCTTCGGGCTCCTCTTCGATCTTTCCTGCGGCCTCCTCGCCTTGGACCTGTCGCCGGGTACCCGTTGCTCCTCGGACCTCCTCGCCTTGGACCTGGAGTGGTCCCAGAGCAGGTCCTCGATGTCCAGCGACTTCTTCGAGGAGACCTCCTCCAGACTGAAGTCCCGGTGGGCCCGGTTGTTCCGGTTCGATCTGGCCCGCCTGCCCATTCTCTCGTGCACCAGGTACTCGTTGTTCGCCCGCCGTTTCTCCGCCTCGAAGTCCAGCTTACGACCCCGCCGTTCCTCCTGCGTCCGCTCCTGCGCGTGCCGCACCTTCTCCCGCTCCCTTCTGACGCCCTCTTGATGCTGGTTCCTCCGGCTCTCGCGAATGTTGCGCTGGTTCCGGTTCACGCCCGTCACCGTGAACTTGCCGAGGTAGGGGCACGTGCGTGGCTCCGGCGAGCTCGCTGAAATTTTCAAGAAAATCGGCGACATTTAGGCGAGGAATTGTGGAAAACTGTGGAAAACATTCCTGAGATCATTTGAAGCAACTTTTTCCTTAGCGAAAATGCAATCCGCTGCTTCGTTTACGAGTTATTAACGAAAAAGTGTGACCAATCGGAGAGCCAGCGCGACCGCCGCTCCGCCCCTGTGGCCAATGCCGCGTCGCACCGGCCACCGGCGTGGGCAGGGCATCAGCCGTACGCGATCTCTCATTGGTCCGCTGTTTTTCGTCAATAACTCCTGAACAAAGCCTCGTAGAACATTTTCGCTAAGGAAAAAGTTGCTTCAAATGACCTCAGGAATCGCCCCTTTCCGGGTGTTAAGATAATTATGGCATACTCTGTATGAACTCAGAGCTTTTGTTTTTAGAGATATAAGTAACGTTATTTTCTCTTAAACTGAGCAATCAGTGTCACTTCGTGTGTCAGGTGATTTAATATTACATAACCTATACGCTAAACAGAGTAATCCACGCCCAGACCGGTTATTATGAAATTAATCTCCACTAAATGTTAAATATTAAATGCAGCCCTATTTGTAGATGCCTGGAAGTGTGCCAGGCAATTTTTGTGATCTCCTTAGCACGCTTCGAACGAAGTTGCAGTTGCTGGAATAGATCGAGGGACTTCTAAAAATTGAGGGTGAAACGATTTCGAACGTCCTGAAGCCCGTCGGGTTGTTTTTGGTCTCTAACAAGGTGTCTTACTTCTCCCTGCAGCGGTCCTTCACCGAAAATTAACAATTTAGAACGGAAGATTTACCGTCACCTCTGACACCGGCGGAGTAACAAGACGCAAGGGAGGGAATACGCCAGCGACAAATCGAGGAATAATTTATCCTGCTTCGGGACACCATCAGAATCAATTAACGCTCGTTTCCTAATTCCAGCGAGCCAACGACCCGATGAACGATCGATCTATAAACTCCCGGCTCGGGGACTCCTTCAACGCGGAGAGATACTCCGCGAACTTAACAGGAAGGCGGGACATCTCGACCGAAGATCGGCTGAATTACAAATTACCTTCTCCGAGTGGAATCAACAAGAAACTTTCCTCTATCGATCTTCCCCTAACGACGTTTTCTTGCGGCCGGATCGACCGCCTTGAGGACCGGACAGTTACGAAACAGTCCGGATACTCGCTTTTGCGAAATTTCTACCGGACCACCATTAATCATCGATCTACCCAAGCCGAGACCCGATATACAGACCAAAAACAAAATTGAGACGAACGCTCCCGTGAATATAAATTTATCTGAGAGATTCTGACTAATTGTATACATGTGATGTCTATTTTCTTCGTATTAGAATAGAAAATTAGGTTAGGTTATGTCGCTTTTCACTTGCATCAAGTTATCCTAGAGATAGCACAAAGACGTCTTTGAGACGCCTGGTGTAGGATATTCGGGACGTTCCTTGAGCGTCTTTTTAAAGTCTGAAATAAGACGTCTTAAAGACGTCCTTTTGAAGTCTGAAATAAGACGTCTTAAAGATGTCCTTTTGAAGTCTGAAATAAGACGTCTTAAGGACGTCCTTTTAAAGTCCGAGATAAGACATCTTAAAGACGTCCTTTTAAAGTCTTAAATAGGATGTCTTAAAGTATGAAATAAAACATCCCGAATTGGAGGTCCTTTCGAAGTCTGAAATAAGACGTCTTAAGGACGTCCTTTTAATGTCTGAAATAAGATGTCTTAAAGACGTCCCGAATTGGACGTTCTTTTAAAATCTGAAATAAGACGTCTTTAAGATGACCAGTGCCTATTAGGACATGTACCATTCTATAACAGATGACTAAAAGTACTGTCACAGAACAGGTGTAATTCCAGTGTTGCCAACTATATGGAATTTTCAGTAGATCTATCGATGTTCGATGTTATCGACGGACTTAGGGATTAGAAACTTAAACTTAAACTTAAATTTCACCCTAGATTGCATTTCTAACAAGAGGACTCGACCTTTCCAAAATGGATCCATGCGACGTTAAACAGCAATACTGCAATAGAGACTATCATTAATATTGTTCAATAAAATAGTTAACGTTGTGCATTATATCATCACGTGGATCAAAAAACCCACAATATGCTGCCGAATTTTAGAAATTATTCTACGATGACGTGAAAGCAGGAATTAAAAAAAAAATAGCACCCCAAATTGTACTTCTGTAAAGAACAATTGTCTTTCTACTGTGCGAGTACAGTAACACTGCATCGGTTCCCTGCTCCCTTAATCATCGACGGCGGACCGTCTTCGCAAGAAAATCTCGAAGTTATTTTCTAGCAGTTTTTTTTTAGTATCGTGGGACGATTACGTTACAGGGGCGGCCCCGGTGTTCTCGGATCCCGGGAGCACGTCGATAAATTTGGCGAAGGGTTTGCGGCCGGCTCGCCAGCACCTTGGCCAAATGTTCCCGGCCAATGGGGAACTTAGCAGGGCGCGCGGAAAAAGGTCCGAGGGGTTTCCGGCAACTCGAGCAGCGAACCGCAGATCCAGTTTTGCACTCGACCAGTTTACATCAATCTCGGCGTGGCGCGCGGTGGGAAGAGGGGGGGGGGGGTGGCGGCGCTCGCATTATAGCGAACTTAAAGTTGTAAAGCAAACTCGCGCGCGAGTTTATTTTCCGTTGCGGATCCGACAGGGAGAACGAGAAACTTGGGGCTAGGCTCGGGACGAATCCGAAATGGGAATCACGTTCGAAATGGGATATACTTTACGGAACGAGCTGCACTTTCCAGAATATTGAAACAACATTCTGCGTGTGTCGCGCGCGATTCAGGATACGGAATCCTGGCGCCGAAAGTGATTGCTCGTGCGGCCTCGACGGATCGGTTCATTAACCGAACGAGGATTTTATGCATTTATGGCAGAATTAATTGGCGGCTCGAAAGCTAGCTTACAGAATTTTGCGAAGAATGTTCTACCGTGAATGCTTGTGATTTTGAAAATTTTCGCGTTCTAAGATTTATTTTACGGTAAGGCATTTGTTGCGAGAAAGAGACAGTCTGAGATCCAAAGTTTTGTTCAGAGTGTAGTAAGCGTTAGGGTTAAACTTTACTTTAGGGGTCCAGAGGTTTTTGGCTCTTTTATGCATATTTCCGTAGATTTTGTCGAGAGAATTCCAAAAATTCAAGTACCAAGGCGCGCAAACTATTGCTTCAAAAGTTACACGCGTTCAAAGTCTTTTTATACGACAGGTTAGCCAAAATGGCTATTCATCCGTGCTTGTGCTGCCACTTAAAGGCTCTTGTGAGGAATTTCATTGATATCTATGCTGTCATCTGGCGACGCCGCTCGTGGAGCTATTGGTCGTTCGGAAAGTTTTTTCGTTTCTCAAAAAAAATTTCATTTGTAAGCTCGTTAAAGAAGCACGTGATTTAGCATTTTACGAATAAACGACGAGGCTTCTACGAGATAAGATTTTGAAAACACCAGAAAGATGTCGGAAAGTTTTTTTCTTATTTGAAACGTTAAAAAATTGTTTTTTATTTTCTCGTAAAAGAACGAAACAACTTTTCGAACAACCCAATACATCAACGGACGGAGTAAAAAACGCTTGAAATTCGTCAGCTTTGAACGCGTGTAACTTTTGAAGCAACAGTTTGTGCGCCCTGGGACTTGAATTTTTGGAATTTTCTCGACAGAATGTACGGAAATATGGATGAAAGAGCCAAAAATCTCTGGATCCCTAAAGTAAAGTTTAACTCTAGCGCATACTATACTCTGAACAAAACTTTGGATCTCAGACTGTCTCTTTCTCGCAACAATTGCCTTACCGCAAAACAAATCTTCGTGCAAAATCCGAGCCAACTCAGCGCATGAAAATTTTTAAATTAACGAGCACTCACGGTAAAATGGTGGAATAGATCTAGATTACCAAAGTTTGTCAAAAATCATCGCACCAAAAATCCTTCTCGCAAAACAACATGCTCACACGTAAAATGTCCTTAAAAATCACTCGTTAGAAACTTCCAACCGGAACTTTTGCAATCTCCGCGTCAGAGATGACCGAAAAAAACTGTATCTACGGGAAGTCCCGGGTGTGCAAGGCATAACGAACTAATCAGTTCCAGTGGCTGGTTGACGAAACGGATCGCGAAAAAATTCTCGAAGCGACGCTTTGAGGCTTGGTCAACGGAACACGCGACCCAATTCTGCCTGTCGGGACGTCGGCGGGGCGCTAACAGCGACACGGCTAATCCCGTGTGAAAGCTGTAACGCTGTGAAAACAGCCGAGCCCATTTACCGCGGTAAACATCTTATAAGGAAAATCCAGAAAATCCGCAAACAGGCGAGACGAGGCGCCGGGCGTCGCCGGTGTTTTCCAGGGAGATTCGAAGGGCGAAAAATCGATTGGCGCTCGAACTCGGCGAACAATCGCGTCCCCGCGTCGGCGACGGAAAGTGCTCACGAATATTCCGTCGCGCTCGTTCATGTTTGAGTAGCATCTTGGATTGTTGGCCGGGCTGCAGCCGCCGCCTCATTAAGCCCGAAAATAATACCACGGCGGTCCGGGGAACAAGGAGGCCGAAAGGCAGAAGGGTCGCGAGACGTGTTCTGTCGCGAACCTTCGCCGACACGGCGGGAGGGGGATCGCTCCGCTAAGCAGGAGGGGGCTTTGGGACTGGCCCGAGGGTGCGACGTCAGATTTGTCTCGTTAGAGTTCGCATTGTGCCTGCCTATGGCCGATTTGCGCCCCCCCCCCTCAACCCACCGGTCTTTTTCCTTCTCCGTATCTAACGAGCTTCCATTAAAGCCGCAACGTCAACCCTTCGCGCTGCCACGATATCCACGCCACTCCGTAACCCGCGCACTCCGCCCAACCCCTCGCCCTCGCGATCCTCCCGTGTCTTCCTCGGATTTCTCGCGAGTCGACTCGATCGCGGCTCTTCAACTCCTTAGATACGCAACATGTTCAGTTATATTCTCATTAGACAAGGTTTTCCGAAAATAGTGTTGCAAACTGAAGGG